GGGTTTTAAAAAAATTCTTGGCATTTTTCGGATTGTGCAAACTTTCTCGTCACATTTGTTTATGAACAAAAGTATGTGTTGTAAAGCCAAAGATTTGCTCTTTGCAACAGTTCTTGTTGCTCTCTGAAAGATGATGTGGGAAAGGAATTACGGCGCTTTGAAGATGAATTTTGAAAAACGTGCATTAATTATGCATCAACTTAATATAAACAACCTTCACTTTTGAGGCTCTGTCTCTAGACTATTGAAGGTACGGCCACCATCCAACCCAGCTCGACGAGGTACATTCTCTGATATAGTGCCTGTTTGACTACGATAGTCGGTCAATTTTGACTGATCTTTCCGGATCTGCTTATGATAGATTACTCGTTGTATCGCTTAATGACTAAGCACTCCAAGGGAAGGAATGTAAGTCAAAGTGACCTTCCAAGGTGGTATATGTTGTCTTGTCGGGCCTGAAAAGGTGATTTCATATCTGTCTTATCTACCTGCGAAACAGAACATTTACAAGCGTGGAGTTGAAGTTCGGGGGGCCGAAGTTGGTTAGTAGCACACAAGTACGATCACGAGCGCGCCACATTGGCGTGTGCCGTTTTGTTGTGATTAGAATCTTGCAAGCAGATGCTTCCGAGTTACCCCTTTCGTGTTTTTCATTCGCAATTTTGCAAAAAACTCGTATAAACTCGGGTACCCTTGCAACGCAACCCTTCTCTTTTTTTGATAAAAAAGTTCATTACTTGCCTTTCGTATTCACATAGCGGAGGTAAATGATTAAAAGTTTATGTGCACGTATGGAAAGTGAGAACAAAATGTGAAAAAATGTAGGTAATTCCAGTCATTTCCTTAGCAGGTATACGCGTGTCAGATCAGATTTTGCTATCTCAGTTTTGAACCTGTGAGCCAGCACTGACTACTAAACCAGCCGGCACATGCCGACACATATCTGTGTGACGCTCCTGATGATATTTTTGTACGATTGCCCAACTTCAACTTTTGAAAACTTTCGTGACTTCTCTCCAAGAAGGATCTGAAGATACAAAAGGCGGATTTGGAATCAGCGTCAAAGGCATCCTAGAATAGTGTACATCCCATATTGAAAAGCCACTTGACTTTCTTCTTTCTCTTGCGAGTCATCTACCATCCTTGAAAACCTGCAAAAATTTATAAAATTTGACCGACTACAGTGCAAAAACAAGCAATTCTATATATCAGAAGATGCATCTCGTCGAGCTGAGATGAACGATGCTTTCTGATTAGGATTCGTCCACTCTGGAGCAACAATGGCAATTCGACGCAAAGTTTGACGAACTCCGGCGAAATGGAGTGTTTTTCACAATTTATGAGCGGTGTTAGAAGCGGATGCGGAATCGATTTAAATTCTGTCATCTGCGACCAAACCTCTGAAAGCATTGCTTAACTAAGGGATACCAATTATAGGTACCGTTAAGCTCAAACATTGCTCTCAACCTGGGTCAAGCAAGGGGTGTGGCACACGATCGCTGGTTACGACCTCCCCTGATTGCTGTCTTGATAAGACCCCCCCCCTGAACTATATACCTAAGATAGCATTAATAGAGTTGGGAAAGAGGTCAGGCACAAGTCTTTCGAAAACAACCCCCCTCCCTCCCATGAGAGCCCTCAAACGACCCCTTCTTCCTCTTCTTAACCTCTGGACCTCAAAGTGTGCCATTCTGGAGGATACCAGCTTTTTTCTAGGGAGTTTTCAGATTTCTAAGAGCCGTACGCCCGATTTTCTGTGACTGCACTTTACAATCACACGTAAATTGACGGCTGATTTTGATCTGAATGGGCATATTGAAAGGGCCATAATTTTCTTATGGGTGGGGCGTTCCGCTCCAAATTTCCAGTGTAGCAAAAAGAAGCTATGTGCTCAATACTCATACCAGCAATGGAGCCCTTTCTGGATTTTGAAGGCAAGTTAAGGGTGTGCGGCACACCTCCTTAAAAGCTGAGCCGCAGCTTTTAAGGGGGTGTGCGCACCCCGTTAACTATATCAAAAGAACATTTTTAGCGGACAGTATTTATATGAATCGATAGCCTAAACCTTGTAGATTCCATAGGAGTTTGGAGCCTGATTCGTCTTCTTAGCTCTGAGTAATATTTGGTGAAAGCACAACGATCAAATGCGAAAAATGGGAAAAACGAGATTTTCGTTGGCTTCTAATTCCACAGTTTGCAGGTCTTCCTGCGGGATTCCTGAGATGGACAAAGAAGGAGTAGTGCTTTGTCTTGAGTGCAAAAACGGATAGCTAATTCATTTTTGAAACAAAGTTAACCATGTTGGAATTTGACCATTTCATTTAGGTAGCCTAGTATCTTGAATCTTCAGAATTCGCTCACACTTTTGTCTACAGGGGGTAATTGACATGCTAATTATGGATATGATACAAATATCATGTTATCATTATTATCAGATTACCCAACTACGACCCCCTCCCCTTTTGACTCCTCAATACGACCCCCCAGGTGTGGCGTGCAGCACCCCACGCTTGACCCTGCTCTCAACTCATTCACAACTTCACTACTTTCTGAACATTTGTGCAAAATTATATCAAGTAAGCATGTCATATTTTATGCCGTCAATTTTCTTGGCGACTTGCTTTATACTTCCTGCAAATGTGTGCAGCACAGCGAAGGTTCTCATAACTAATATACTTTGAAGAAGCCTCAGTCAGATCGAATAAGCAACTCTTCGTGATGCATTTGGTTCTCAGTCGAATTGAAACATGGACCATGCTTAGTTACTAACCCCTCATCCCTTTCAAGAAAGCCGAGAGACCTGACAGCTAGACTCTAAGCCCTGTTATGTCATACGGTATGATATCGTTTCCCATGCAGTCACCTCATAGCTCAGCACGTTTTTCTTGCAGATTTTTATCTACAGGCAGTCTTCCTGTGTTCAGTAGTGAAATTTTGCGCAGGAAAAAGCCTCCAACCCGCTTCGGAATGGTGCGCAGCAGCTGAGAATAGCATTGGAATTAGTGTTTGAAGCTGATTTAGAATATATTAGGTCATTCCGAAAGTAATTTCGCTTTTTTCAAACGGGTGCCACATCTGAGGGAACAAAGATTTCTAAGAGATCTTGGTAGCATTCGATGCAGCATTTTATCCTCTTTCTAATGATTGTGAAATTTTTGCAAAACAATCAATGAGCTTTCAGAAAATGACCGAAATCTGCTACCTATGTTTTTTGAGATGGTAAAGTTTCACAATTTTTATAAATTTTTATATCAAACCTCCGATAAAGTACAAGTAACGTGTTCATAGAGTAAACTCTACAGAATGCAAAACAACTTTTTTCTCCTTTCTACAGCTTGTCATGCATTTTTAACAGAATTTTAACTGATGCTACCGATTTCCTTACTTGGACAGCTAAATCCTCGTAGAACATCAGAGGAAGAGCAGCTCGTGCACTATTCGATGCAGCATTTTCTCCTCTTTCTAATGGGTTTTTTGTTCCCGATTTGTTTATTTTTCGGGGATAAAATAATCATAACTCACTTTTTAACGAGCCCCAGGTTGTACCCCAAAAAATCCAAATTTGATATTTCGAATCCGCAAACTCTCATTTGCTCAGAAAAATTAGTGCTTACTCGTGGTACCATCTTTTGTTAGTAGTCTCAAATTCCGAAAGTTTTTGATGTTTGACGCGGTTGTGGCTGATGTAGGCCTACAACAATCCGATGGTTTTGTTAAAAAGATCTTTTGAAAAATTACGGTGAGCTAGGAAAAAGAGAAAAGAGTCGCATCGTATTCTATAAGATTCGCTCTATCGAATCATTACTTGAACTCCTTCTCAGCAGTGATATGAAAGTTTTAAAAAATTGTGAAACTTGACCACCTCAAAAAGCATGGGTCGTAAATTTTCGTTATTTTCCGTAAGCTCGTTGATCTTACTGCAACGTTTTCATTACTGTCAGATAGAGGATGAAATGCTGCATCGAATGCTTCCAAGATCTCTCAGAAATCTTCGTTCCATCGAATATGGCGCCCGTTTGAAAAAAGCGAAATTACTTTCGGAATGACCTAATATATGTCACTTGCCAAAAGGCCGGCTAAGTTAGATAGCTTTCCTTATAAGTTAGGCCTTTCCGTGTTAGTGGAGATAGCCACACAATGGGAGAGAGCCACACAAATGTCTGCGACCAGAAAAACTTGTCAAATTTCTGTCTCTCATGCATCATAATACATTTTTAAGAGTTTACCACATGCTCGCAGCGGGCATAACGATATCCCCCTTCATTCCTTCTGCCTCGCTAGTCTCCATATATTTCCATATGCTTTTCATCTTCTTCTCATTTGATTCACAGATCTTTGTGTTCTTGCACCTAACAGGATGCACCAAGCACCACCTGCACCAAACTTGTCCCCGTCATGCATCAATATCAACCATGGTGCTTAGTTCTTGATTAGCGATTTGATTTGTTGATAATTTATAGTTATGGCTCTCGCTCAAAGAATAAATTTGTTTTTCATATCCCAAATCTGAATAGCGGCGAGAAAATCAAAAGATGTCTCATCTTCAATTTTTGAGTGTAGACAATGATTACTACGGAATGGCTGTACTTACTTTGTGTCGCATTTGACTGATTAAGATACAAAAGCTAAAGAGAAAAAGAAAAAGGATATAAAAGCTTCTGAGATATGGATGCTCTATGTTAACGTCTTATCATAGAAGTAAAAAAGTCGACTTTGTGAAACGCTCCTACTTGGCTTGTTGTCTGGAGACTAAGTGGTTGATCTGCTTGGTGATTAACTCAATTTGTGTTTACTGCATGCTTTCTCATTCTGTTAGGCAACCACAAATGTGATTATTGAGCTGTATTTTAGATCCATTTCATCATGTCTGACATTCTTTTTTCGTAGACATTATGTTTGAAGCGAGAAGTCTGAAAACGTGGATTCTACGCATTTGATTGAAGTAGACTAATGATATTAAATGCATAACATGAACCTCAATTTTGTGTTTTTAGATATTTATGACCACCTCCGTAGTTACACAACAAAACCTTCTCGATTATCTGTCCTCTATCATATACTCAACGTATTCAATCCTTGGAATAATCCTGAACTCATCTCTACTTTGGTTGACATTCACACACAAGCATAGTTTTATCAAAGAGTATCGAATTTTGCTGGGAAACACCACATGCACGCTGCTGCTGCACTCACTGCTGACGTTCTTTTTACAGTTGCGGTGAGGCAATAAGGCTCCAGTCGTAAAAATCATCATATTTACGTAGGTTCGTCAGTGCAGGGGACTCTCTTGGCTTCGTTGCCCTCGGACCAGCCAGATTTCTTGATATGCCTTTCCTTGTGCTTTTCTGCACAGCACTATGGCTCGCTATTGAATATTACGCCTTCATGACCATTGCAATGTGCATGATCTATAGATATGTGACCATTAGCGGAAGAAGTTTCAGCGAAAGGCAATTACTGGCTTTTTCCGCTGCTACTTTTTTGCTCCCGCTATCGATGGGAGTAAGTAAAGGTTTTCTCTTTCTTTAAGTTTATCTTGCTACTTTTCAGATCGCTATACTGGCATGTAATCCAGATTTCTCGGAGTTGCATGCCATTATGGATAAGCTAAGGCCGGAATATGGTTTGCAAAGATATGGGAATTACAGCGGTTTGCCAAACGTTAAAAACGTATACGTCGCGTACACAATTGCTGTGATATGCGGTATTGCAATAATGTCGTACATCGTAATGATAACAGTAGGGTTTCAGGTAAGCGCACTCGGCATAGCAAAAAAAGTGTTTTTTTTTTGTTTATCATGAGGCTTCAATTTAGACGAAAAAATTCCTTGCGGAAAAAGCGGGAGTTATGTCTACAAGGAATCTTCAAATGTTCAAGATGATGATAAAGGTCTGCGTTCACGACTTTTGTACCACTTTTGATTATTTTCTGAAGCAGTAATACAGGCTCTTATAATCCAAGCCTTGGTGACAGTACCGTTATCGTTCCCTCATATATGTCTGTACCTGCTGTTACAATTCACGTCGTTTCGCTCTCTCGCAGCTGAGTATATAGGGGTCTTTATATCTCCATTAGTGATCGTGGTTGATCCCTGCATTACTTTATACTATGTCTTACCCTACAGACGCTATCTACGAAGAAGATTTGGCTTCGTCAATGAGATTGTGTCGAAAACAATGAGCATAACAGCTGTCACTGATTACATCAAGAAGCCAGTAGCCCAATGAGAGAGAAATTTTTGAGATATGGTTCTTTGTTGCATATCATTTCGTAATACTATGTAGTACATAAAGGTGCTTGTCTGTTTGTCGTATCTTCATCTGTGTGTGTACCCTTTGTTTCACTAGCTCAGACAAATCACGGGAACTTCCCGAGGGGCAAGCCAATTTGCTAAACTTCCCGAGGGTTTCATTTAGCACGTAAGTGAATGGAGCAGTAAAAATGGGAACTTCCCGAAAACGCTGACGTCAAAACCAACACAGTTAGGAACTTTCCGAGGAAGTCCTCGGAAAGTTTCCGTTTTTGGGGAAGTTCCCAAGAGCTTATCTGCAGAACTTTCCGAGGGCTTTACGGGAACTTTCCGAGGTGACCTGCGGAACTTCCCCCACAGCCCTCGGAAAGTTCCCGTAAATTGTCTGAGTAGAGTTGGCGGCTGGGGGCGAGGCTTCTGTCGATTAGAGAGCACATACGCGAGGAAGATGCAGAGCCTACCCTCCCACGCTTACGTGCTCTCTAATCGATCGAATCCCGCTCTCCACCAGCCTACCCCGGTGAAACAAGGAATACTTACGTTCCGCACAGACAATTCCATTTTCTGACCATTCCAGGCCAATTTTGCTAACATGCTCTTCAGGGCGTAAGCTACTTTTGGCTATAATCGACATCTATTTCGTTTTTATTGGAAGCCGATTTTAAAACAATTTACGAACTTTGATTACGAGCTGAGTGAGAGTTGGTATGAGGGGGGAGGGCGGGGGTAGTGATATGAGTGAGCATGCTAATTACGGTAACACGAGGCGAGGACAGGGAATGGGATAGAGAAGGACAGGGACAAAGAAATGTTGTGTATGAGTGAGATAGAATGGTGATTTTTATCATGTTGTATTGAGACCGAGCGGAGCCAGAATCTGCGAGGCAGTACTATAAAGGTTGCATTTTCATGCTTATATGTATGTCTCTTGTCTCTTGTAGTCTACAGCGTCAAATGTCCTTAGCAGGCTGTCGAAGTCCCTCCAAAACACGTCCTTCTCGGCTTCGGTACATGCGGATTGCGGGGCATAACACGAGACTATTCGAAGCATGGCATCATCTGCTTCGATCTTCATCGTCATCAATCTATCTGAAATGCGCGTCATCGGTCGCTAATTCGCGGTATCTACCGCCGACGATGATCGCGACTCCGTTCTGACGGCTGCTATCTCCCGTGTAGTATAAGCGATATCCGTCGCCGATGTCCATAGCCTGCCTCCCTTTCCATTTCGTTTCCTGTACACATGCGATGTCGATGTGTCGCTCCTTCAGCCTATCACATAGCTCCCGGCTGCGGCTCGTTAGCGTTCTATATTAATCGTCGCTAGTCGGATTTCCTGGACTCGCTTCTTTGGCCTGCCTCGTCCGGGGGCAGGTAGCCCTAGCTCACTATTCGCGCCATGCGGGCAATGACGCCCGTCGCCTCCCGGGGACGTCCAAACAGCTTGACGAAAATCCTTAATAATCCGATGCATGTGACACGACTGATTCGTACAGTCCCCGGCGCGTCGCTCCGCCTGACGGGACAGTGCCCTCGTCGTTTGCCGGGGTTGATCCCCGTTGCCAGCCGGCACCGCGAGGAGGTGACGATGGGACTTTGCCGGCCAGCAGTGGTTCTTCCTCATCTAACAGCAAAAGGTGAGCTGATAGTTTGAGGCCTTAACGGGAGTTTTTTCACCTTTTGGGAAACTTCCTGCATGTGATGAGATGTTTGAAAGGTTAAATTTCAATGTTCCTCACTTTATAAGCTCTGACGAAGGCGACTACGCCGAAACGTTAGCCAAATAAATGCTATAAGAATCTTGATGTTGACTGATTCGCTCAAGCATTTTAATCGTTATGCCAAGATTCATCGAAAGTCGAACGTGGAACATCATGATCAAATAGTTGTCCTCAGATGGTTTTTTTTTCTAAGTTGACGGACTCCTATATTTTTGTAATACTCGAACCTTTACATGGCCTAGGTTCCAGAATGCGGTTCAAAAAGCTTCAAAGTTTGGAAAGTTGCTTCGTTATGACTTTTTTTTCGAAAAATGTGGACGATTACATCAACGCCCCTCCGTTCTTAGGAGACGTGAAATCTCGCCGCATACAACAGCATGTAGTGGCACAATTGGTCTTCACTGTATTTGCCACGTCGTAGCATGCGAAGAATAGCCGGATGGGCGGCCCGGTAAAACCCATTTGACAAGAGTGTGACCGGAGTCACGTTGCCAAGGTACCTGAACAATGACTTTGATGATACCTTCATTACCGTAGTGCCATCTCACAATATGCTGCGATTCGCACCGAGTGCAAAATGTATATATGTATTAGACAAGTAATTTTCGTAAATCACATGTTTCTACATTAACAGAGGAAGTTGGAGATACACAAGTACTTATTTGGAACGCTTACTTCTGAAAACATCAATTAGTTTTGTTTTGGTCTGCGTTCTATGCCTTAGCCAACTCGACTCATTGTTATCATTTCCTCCTTTTCAAGTACTGAGACAATTTCCATCAAATAGGCAACTTTGTTTGTTGATGATGATGGAAAATCATTCAGAACAATCAGTCCCAAATTGTTCACACTTCTTCAAGGAATTATTAATGCTCACTTAATGTAGCATCAACTCCAGTCAACGTACGCCCTCCAAGCACTGATGAAAAAATGAATTGCAGATCGCTTCTTAGTTTATAATGAAGAGCTTTATTTTTTTCACCCCAAAAAAGGCGCCTACAGTACCCTTTGCGGCCTGCGTTGAACGCATTCTACTTGAAAGTCAAGGCGGCTATTGAATGTGTGCGATTACTCTAGTCCTTACCGTCCTGGGGGGGTAGAGGGCTTCGTTGGTCCAGAATAGATACTATGGTCCGATTTGTTCATTTCACACTCACCACTCGTCCCTATAAAAAAGCGGTGATCGCTATATCAATTTCCGCAACCAAATTTGATGGAATTTTCAATGGTTTTTTGGGAGTGGCGCAGCCACTGAAATGAAAAAGCATTCGTGGATAAGACTCAATTTGCATAACCAGTGCGCTATAATTGCAGGAACACCGAAGACTTATTGCAACAACAAGTTTTACCTTCCGTACCGTAGTTCAGCGACACGTCTCCTATATATGAATTTACATCTCATTCTATGGTCCTTTCAGAGCTATCAGATTATTTGGTTATATAAAAGACTAGCTGGCTTGCCCGGCTCCGCCGGGCCTGCCAGCTAGACCCGTGTACGTATGTTCCGAATAGAAATTTTTATCTCTGAACCGATTGGGACCGAACTTTGCACACATACACTTCGGGGCAGGGAGCGTGTCACAGTCCACATTTCGTTATCGATCAATGTCAACATATTTGTAATCAGCATGTTCGATTACCCCCTGTGCCAACTCCCAGCCCCGTAGCTCAATTTTTGCAAAAAATCGATAAAATCGATATGGATCGATACTAGAAGTAGCCTATGACACGCTCCCTGCCCTGAAGTATATGTGTGCCAAGTTTGGTCCCGATCGGTTCAGAAATAAAAATTTGTATTCGGAACATACGTACATACATACAGACAGACATACAGACAGACATACAGACAGACAGACAAACAGACATTCAGCTTTATATATAAGATAAATAAGGAAGAGGAGGAGCGGAAGGAAGTCGAATAAAGTAGCAAGATCAAAAATCAGAAACCTTATTAAAAACGTCTAAAGTTCCATCTTAGTACACGCAAGAGGAGCTACTTCCACCAAGCTTTTCGAACATTTGCGCCTATTAATGTTAAAGGCAGCGTCCAGGCAAACTCCAGGTCCAAGCTGGACCTGTGGAGATTTTGCATGGAAAGTAATTTTGGGATCCTAACTAAGGCACTGCGCAAGCGACCGCGCAAATGACTCACTAACGGGTGAGATATAGGCCTTTAACGCACGCGAAACCGATGAATTGAAAACCCACAAACCGATGAATTGCGCCATGATTTCTTGCGTAATACGATCCTCTGGTCCAATTTGGAGGGGATTATCTTAGCCGTTAGGCACTACCTGAGCTGCCGTTGGGCAGTGGTTTTAGTAAGAGCCCCAAAATTACTTTCCACGTAAAATCCCAGATCTCCAGTTTTCTGGACGCTGCCTTTGATCAATATCTAATATTAAGTAACTCTTATTTCCAGTTACAGAATTTTAGCTCATAGAGGTAATGAGAAAACTTTCAATTTCTTCTTTGAGAATCTGATGTTCGAGAAAGTCAATTCTAGACTTTTAAAGACGCCTTTGAAATCTAGCACGAAAAATTTATAAGTTCTCAGACAACGGTAAAAGCGTTGCTGTGAAGTATTCAACACTCATTCGACAAAGTAACGCTTTCGTACTAAAGAGTGGAAGGATCTCAAATCCTTTGCATTTTGCAAAACCGGTGTGTATTACAAGCAGTGCGTTTAAACAAGAGGGTTGTTAAAATGAAAAATTCTTTGTACACGCAAGCGACAGAAAATCTGTGTCTTTAAGCGCTAAAAGTTCGTAGCGGACAAGTTGAGCTTGCGCTCTTGTTCTGTTTCCACAGTTCCTGAAGGTACTCTTGGCAAAGGTAAAGCTGAATCGCTGAGAACAATGAGCGACATATACTCCCTTGATTTGAAAACACGAGAGCTATTTGATTTTTTGTGTTCAAGCTAACAACAATCTTATGACATCTTATGATGTTTTGTGGAACCTTGCGAGCGTAAAAAATGGGTCTAAATAGCTTGTTGCTTCGAGAAGGTGAAATGCAATAAAAGTAACTCAATGTATTTGGCTTAATGATCAACACATTTCTAATCGTAACCAGACTGTTTTCCTTCTACTTTGCCAAACGTTATTGTCTGTCGTCCATCAAAAGTCGTTTAAGAATCTAATCATTCATTAAATTAAGTTTCAGCGGATGTTGGATCAACATATCATATTCAATCGACGTCTCGGTTAGGCCTACATTCGCTCCTCTTCATACCGCTTGTTTCGCGATGACTGCCTCAGTAGCTGCGCAAGAGAACTTCCTCGACTATCTGTTCTCCATCATATACTCCACTTACTCCATTCTTGGATTCATACTTAATTCTTTTGTACTTTGGTTGATAATCACACAAAAGCACAGTTCTATTAGAGAGTATCGAATTTTGCTGGGAAACACAACGTGTGCACTGCTTTTGGTTTCGCTGTTGACATTTTTTCTCCAATTACGGTAGGCAATAAGTATTTTAGAAAGAACTCAAAAAAATTTGCATGCTAACTTAGGTTCGTCATTGCAAACGACTCGCTTGGCTATGTTGCCCTCGGACCTGCCAGATTTCTGAATATGCCTAGCCTTGTGCTTTTTTGCACTGCACTGTGGCTCGCTATCGAATTCTACGCATTTGGGACAATTGCCATGTGTATGGTGTATAAATATGCGACCATTAGCGGGAAGATTTTTAGTGAAAAGCAGCTACTAAATGCTTCCGCTCTAATGTTTTTGCTCCCGCTATCGACAGGAGTGAGTACATGATGTAATTATACTACCTATAAAATATGGTCCTGATAATCTTCAGGTTGCATTGCTCTTTTCCAACCCGAACTTTTCTGAGTTACATGCCATTATGGATGAAGTAAGGCCGGAGTATGGTTTGCGAAGATACGGAAACTACAGCGGCCTAGCAAACGTCAAGAATATATACGTCATGTACTTGATTGTCGTACTGAGCTGTTTTGCGATAACGTCATATATCGTGATGATAACAATTGGACTTCTGGCAAGTATTTGAATATTGCATGTTGTGCAAGCTTGTGGTGCTGCACTTCCTCCCAAGAGCCACGTTTGGCTGTACAATCTCTCTATTTGTTGTATAGTTCATATTAGGCCGCTTCGAAAGTAACGTCGCTTTTTTCAAGTAAGCGTCAGATTCCGCCAATCAAAGAATTTGTAAAGGTAGTCGGTTACATTCGACACAACATTTCAACCTCTTTCAAATGGTCATAATCATATAGCAATATTTAGCAAGCTCTCAGTAAATTGACAAGGATGACAAGCCACGGTTTTTGCCATGGTCAAATTTCGTATCTACCAATCCCCCGAGGAACTCAAGTGAGGATGAATAGAGCAAACCCTAGAGGATACAAAGCAACTAGCTTCCTCTTTTCATAGCTCGCCATAATTTTTTGATCATTTTTATCCTAACCATTAGTACCAGTCTCAGATGCAAACGCTCTAAACATAATCTTCAAAATTTCAAACCTTTCAAAACTAATTATATTCAACACTATTTTTACAAAGCCATGCCATAGTAAATTGTCTCCAAAAACAGGGATCGGAAACAAAAAAATAGAGAAATAGAGATAAAACCGCAATGTTCCATGAGGTTTGACTGTACCAAGTACGAATTTGAATGCTGCAATTGAAATTTAAACTAGAAAATCATGGCGAGTTATGGAAAGGATATATAAGTTGTTTTATATTTTGTAGGGTTTGCTCTAGCTATCCGTCGCATGGGCTTCTTTGCTAGATTGGTTGTGATTTTTGAAGAAATAGCGAAACATGATCATGGCAAAAATATGCATTGCTGTTTTTGATAACTTTCTAATAATAAGAGATCATTACTTGCACTGCAATGCAATCATAACCGAACAAGGATAAAAGTTGTGTAGCAACCAAGATCTTCCAATTTCTTTGACCTGCACATGTGGCGCTTTGGGAAAAGCGAAATGACGTTCAAAAACTATAAATATAAATCTTACATGAGAAAATAAGGCATTGTAAATGTTGAAAAAATGACTGATTTACTATCCGCAATCATATTTAGTCGAGGCTTATTGGCGCATTATGCTTTGCACGAGGAACGAATTTTAAGTCCTTGACATCCATTCACCGATTCATAACTCATCGCTCCAAAAGAGCAAAAGATGAACTGCTTAATATCACTGCATCACTGCATACATGAGCCTAGAAATTGCTTTGCAATTTGCATCCAGTGAAGCTCTCTGTCAGTGCTCAATTAAGGTTTTCAGACGAGAAGTTTCCTTTCGAAACGAGCAAAAGATATGTCTGCGAAGAATGTTCAAGTGTTCAATATGATGGTGAAGGTCTATACTCAAATTTGTTTAGATTGATTTTCTTTAAAACCAAATTTCAGGCACTCATAGTCCAGTCGTTTATGCCATTGATTTTTTCATTTCCCGGCATGATTCTCTATATGCTACTGCAATTCATATCGCTTCGTTGGGTTGCAGCTGAATATCTAGGAAGCGCTATATCTGCATTTGTAATTGTGGTCGATCCTTGCATCACTCTGTACTACGTTTTACCATATAGACGTTATCTACTAAGAAGATTCGGTTTTGTTAATGAGGCTGCTTCAAAAACAACAGTAAGTGTCGTCATACAGACGCCACGGAGTGTGATGAAAAGCAATCAGCAGCTTGAATAGCCAAGCGGCTAGGATTTCAGGTCTTCTCGTTCTGATCGGCTCGCTTGATAGTTCACTATGGCCAAATTTTCGTGATTACCGGCGAATCAATATTCCCTATTTTCCAGAGTATAAGGCGCATTGTGCACCGCGCGCGAGCAGTTTTGCGGCGACGTGCGACGCCGCAAGGGAGCGGTACCAACTTTTCGCCACAGTTTTGTGCATTCGTTCTCTGTTAAATCTCGCAGTCATGAGTTGTTTGAGAAATCAGTCTGCTCTATCATTAATTCATCATATTTCGCAAAACAAAGATTTAACACTTAGACACTCGTGCCGTTATTTTGAGACTCATACAATAGCTGTCACTGAGTTCGTTTATGCCTACATCTAGAAAAATTTTCGCTAAACCTTTTCGAAAATTAAAAGCACTGACATTCTTGCACTAAAACGCCCATTTAGCAATCTCCAGGTAAGTATAGATAAGAAGACCGTTAGCATACAACTCAACCCAAGCCAAATCTTGGGCGCAACATTCCCGTTAACGTTCGCGCGGCAGGTGCGCCTTATACATGGGTGAGCCTTATACTCCGGAAAATAGGGTAGTCGCTTTTTTTTCTACAATGTTGCCACTACTACGAATTCATCATGAAATGTTTCATGGGCCATTGCTAATGAAACTTGAAACTCGGTGATTTTATATGTACTAGCACATTATCAGTCAACACTTTTGACCGTTTGATTTCGACAAAGAGGGGGTTATTCGATAAAGCGGTGCTCAGAGGCTAATCACGATCATGAATCCACCTCCTTTTCTACACTATGCATAAGTATTCAAATTTTTGTGCAGCAATACTCTTAATCTAATTGTAAGAAACTTGGTTACCCTCAAGCTATGCTGTATGTCAAAAAAGTGACCTGCTTCTATATACATCGGGACTATTGGAAATACGAGGCTTCATTGCGTTCAAAGTATTTTTTCGAACTAAATGCAGCGCCAAGCCAACTATCGCACGCGCACTTCGTTTGAAAAAAAGATTTGAGGTCCTAACCAACCTCCAGGCAGCAGGGTAAATGATCCATCCACTGATAAAAGATTCATCTCCTGCTTCCACCACTGTATTGAGCAGAAATTTGTAGCGATTTCCATGGTTATGCGCGGGGGAGCATCACAAGGGCGGTTTCCAACGAAAGCGTGCAAAGAGATGCAATTCATCTCTTAAATACACTAACAGAGACAGATTTGAAAATAAATATTTCGGCCGCGGGTAAGTGATTCATTTGCGCCGCCGCCTAAATAGTGCTTGAGGGTCCCATAATCATTTTTTTAAGTGAAAGCCCGTGTAGTAGTATGGTTGTATTTGAAGACTGAAATGAGATCAAGGGAAAAGAAAAAGTAAAGGCGCATATTTGAATTTTACACACAACCGGTTCCAAGCATTAGAACTAGACCGGTAGTGTAGCTTTCTTGGCGACCCATCATAAATGATTCCCAAGAAAGCTGCGAATGTATGAAAATGTTGCGTTTGGTTGATGACTGAGAGTTGTCTAAATGAGGAATGAGAGAAAAATATGTAAAGTCCTGGTGGGTGAGCAGAGGAAAATGTAAGAAATTGAAGAGGAGTGTAAGTCCGACGAGTTTCAAGAAAGTAGCATGATACATTGAATGGTACCTAAACTGATATAAGACGGATGTTACTTTCAAACGCACGTCCCGCCTAACCACTACCGAGCGCTGGCATTTATCCAAACCTCGTGCTGGTCCTGCGAAGGTAGATGGGTAGCAGTAAGAAATCCGTGCGCAAAATGAATGGCCTATCACCATGGTATGAAATAAGACTACATTTATTCCCATCCCATCCATTTCTAATAGGGTGAATGGTAAAAAGTAGGGCACCTAGAGATTAACTGTAGATTTCTCAAAAAAGAGAAGTGATTGAACTCTCCAATTTTGAGAGATATCAGAACATATTGTTCTCTTTCAGATGACACCCACATAACATCAACGCACTTGATGGTTTTTAATCCCAGACCATCCAAAATAATACTGCTACAATCGGTGAAGGTACAGTCACCAAACCCACGATGGCTTGCTGGCCGCAACGCCTAAAGTCAGGAGATATAGTCATTGGCATTTTCCTAAACGAAGATGCGTGTTATTTAATTCTTTGCACGTAAACGTCATCTAACTACCATCTGATAGAGATCTTTACGCTTAATCCATGCATATGCAGCTTACCTCAACTTTCATCTAGCCTCGGAAAGTATAGGTTGAAACATGATTTTTTGGTTTTCATTGCGCCAAAAATCGCAACTTTTCGAGCATTTTGCTTTTTTTATCCAGAAATAAACATGTTCAATAAAGTGTTCAAAAGAGCATGAAGAGCTCTTTTGAATGATATGTCAATTGCTTCATGACTTTACGGTGTAGCTGCACAAGATTGAGAGATGTTCAAAAAACCTGTTCGTATTCTTCACGGCGCCACGCGCAGGGTTGTGGGAGGTCCACGCATTACCAGAATAATAGGCGACGGCCGCTTATGTAAGCGAAGACTAAGTTGCAGCTCACTTGCTATTGTTCGAAACAAAAAATCTTAAAAAATAATAAAAATGAAGCTGCCCCATTTTTGCCGTTCATCCTAATAAGTGAAGTTTGATAGAGTCCAAATATTCTATTTCAAAAACTCAACGTAACGGAGACAGTTGCAAATTTCAACAAGAGAATGGTCAGAAGTCGAAGTGGCCAGGCCAAGCGAGGTGCCTACCATCCGATGCAGCATTCCACGCTAATTTCAAATCTGTATTCCAAATCTGCTTAGCGCCTTTGTGGACGAAGTTAAGTGGAGCTTTAGGGCGAAAAAATCGTTCATAAAACTTGCGACATTGAGCACGCATATCACTTTCAGCTCTGTCTAAGCTTTGAGTATAGTAAGTAGCCTAGCTGCATGTTTTAGCCCAGCATTAACCGAACACGGCATTGTACCGCCAGACTTGCGCTTCGTACGCACGATTTCTTAGCAGAATAACGGGCTTTCAACGCTTCATAACTTCGCTCACATAGGGCTAAGCAGATGTAGAGTACAGACTCGAAGTCAGTGTTATGTGTTGCGTCTAATAGTATGCAGCTTGTTCAAATTAGCCCCGATTTCTGACCATTCCGTTGTAGGAACTTCTGACGTAAGTGTATTGATGAGTATATAAGTACTTTGGTATATTAGAAAGCCAATGTGGGTACCTACCGACTTCAAAACTGTAACTGTCTGTCTTGTTTTAAAGGCTGAACCTTATGTTGTTATTATAAGTCTCAATCGTAAGATCAAGAAAATTTGCCATTTTATTAATTGTATTCGTGCGCTCTATTTCAAAAGAGGAGTGGTAAATTTCCGGCAGGGCATCATAAAACTCATCGACATAGTCAGAGACATGAAGTATGTAATCTATACATCCGTAGGGCCGGTAGTAATTCCCCTGACCTGGCGGCATGTTTCGCCGTCAAGTCGCCGGCATCTTTACGTGAGATCGGCGTGAACGCCGAGCTCGAATTTGTGCCCTCCCAACCCTTTTCAACACGTATTTCTGGTCGAGCAGGTCATAGTGACCATAGGGAACCTTACCTGGCAACTGAAGGTTCTAAAAACCTCCCTAAACAAAATTGTAGAGGAAGGCAGAAAGTGCTGGCGGCAGCTTCGCGAGCTGACCTGGCGGCATCTCGTCGAAATTTCAGCGCTGAGAGATGCCACCAGATCAGAGAGTACGAAAATTAGCGTGCTCTTTTGAGAGATCAAGGTGCCACCATCCCGATGTGTCCCTACCATGTCGAGGTAGTGGCACCTTGCTGGCGGCGTCTGTGAATGGGCAATGCGGCAATATCAACAATTTACGTCAAGCGGAAGAACTAAAAAAATTCGATTTCCATCAGAAAACCATCATTTTTTTTGTTATACAGTTTTCGCTGAAATTGATGCTAATTATGTAGAAGAGATGTCTAGTAATTTTATAGAACAAAAAAGAACGTCATCTTCTTTTTGCAAGTCCTCTAAATCTTGTTTGCAACGATTTTGGCTCTATCGTGCTCATATCACTCAGCTGTTCTTCCAGGTCAACGTCTATCGCGCAAGGTATTGATCATGCCCTCTCACAGGCGCCACTGACCTGTACGTTCCTGTAATGGCTGCCGCAAAGAGAGAGAAATTGGCCGCGTGGTCGAGTGGTTAGTGTGGCGGCGTTGGAAGTTGACGCACGCGGGTTCGAACGCGATCCGTGTCGATGTTTCGCGGTTGTCTGGATCATCAAAATTTCATGTGAATAGGGATCGCGGACCAAGACTATATGAGTTTACCAAAGCCTAAAAGCAATCCGCGAGATGCCGCCGGAGTTGGCAACTTCCCGCGATGTGTGCAAACTTGGCGGCATCTTTAATGCCGCCACGTAGGACAGATTACTACCGGCCTAGGTGTCAGTGGCGTACCGAGGGGGAGGGGCGGAGTGAGGAGGGGGCGGGAGGGAAGGCGCCTTCCCCCCCCCCTCCCGAGAACGGGTCGCGAAATTTTTGAAAGTTACTTACATGAGTTATAGTGAAAGTGACTTGTTTATTTTTGTAAACAATTAGAATAATTTTTTAAAATTTTTAAAATTCAAAGTAACCTCATAAAAAAATCTTTCCCTTTTCCAGATTTTAGGGGTTAGGGGCCCTCAAAATTTGAGAAGCCCCCTAAAAGTTTTTCGGAGTGCGTGGCTTACGCTACGCACCTTCATTTGAAAAAAAAATTTTGCCCCCCCCCCCCCCCCGAGCCGAAATCATGGGTACGCCACTGGTAGGTGTGATTATACGTGTATTAACCGTATGTGACTATACGTGTATTTACCGTAATACTTTACAATTGTGGCTTGTCCTCTCATGAAGTCTTATTCCATGTACGCCAATGTAAGGACTGCAATTTGGGGTCTACATGAATCTCCTTGGAGTATGTCTTATGTTAATAGATTGTACTACCAAAATGCAGTGATTGAATGAGTGATTCATT